ACAAATACTTAAAAAACATGAAAGTGGTCTTGGAACCAGTTCATGGACAGAGCATTTTGAGCACTATGATATAAAAAGGTTAGTTTGTACTGAACATACTGTTGTAGAAATGAATGGTAAAGACTCTGACCAGGTAAGGAGGAAGTGAGAAGCAGGGTAGAGAAAACTTACATGTCTGAGAAAGACAGATATAACTCATCATAAAAAACTGACGGGGAAATACAGAGGTCAAAGCCCTGCTCGTGATGGCTGTGAAGGAAATGAGGTCTCTGTTAACGGACACTGGAGGAAAGAGGGCCCTTGTTACAGGGAGTAGCATTGTTAGAAGAGAAGATATATGAGAAGTTTCCAAAATAGTTGAAGACAGAAACCCAACACAATGAACCCCCAAGCAGGATAACAGAAAATCAGACACAGTTCAAACTGCTCAAAACAAGAGTCAAAAAAGAAAGGCAAGAAAATCACATGCCCAACAGAATTGAAGGGAGGGGGGATTTGACAATGTAGACATCTATACTCATAAAAATACTCCTAAAAAAAATGAAGGTGAAACAAAATCATTTCTAATTTTTCCAGACTAACAAAAGCTGCTAAGGGAAATGATCACAGAAAATAACCAAGATCTACAGAAAGTAAACGACAAGGGAAATATGAAACAATATAGTTTTAATTTCTTCAAAAGAAAAATGACTATTGGAAACAAATATAACAATGCATTATGGGATTATGAGTTGTGGGGAAATAAAATATGACAATAATATAAAAAAGAGGTAAATAAAATTACATTATAAGAAGGTTATTAAATATTTCATCAGGTTGTGTAATATTTATCTAAGGTAAAGTGTGATAAATTAATTATGCATACTATAATCTAGAGTAACCACTTAAAAATCATTCGAAGTGGTAAAACTAAATAGCAACAGAGGAAATAAAACAGAAGACGAAAACAAAAAAAATAAAGCTCAATTTCCAAACATAGGAGTAAACAAATAAAGAATAAATGGGGAAATTGAGAAATAAAAAGATGATAGAATTAATCGCAATTATATAAACAATTAGAGTAAATCTAAGTGTATTTAACATTATAATTACAAGATAAGAGACTTTAAACTTGGGTTTAAAAAAATGGACCCAATTCTATGCTGCTAATAAGAAACATACTTTTTTTTAATTGGTTGTTCAAAACATTACAAAGCTCTTGACATATCATATTTCATACATTAGATTCAAGTGGGTTATGAACTCCCATTTTTACCCCAAATACAGATTGCAGAATCACATTGGTTACACATCCACATTTTTACATAATGCCATACTAGTGTCTGTTGTATTCTGCTGCCTTTCCTATCCTCTACTATCCCCCCTCCCCTCACCTCCCATCTTCTCTCTCTACCCCATCTACTGTAATTCATTTCTCTCCTTGTTTTTTTTCCCATTCCCCTCACAACCTCTTACATGTAATTTTGTATAACAATGAGGGTCTCCTTCCATTTCCATGCAATTTCCCTTTTCTCTCCCTTTCCCTCCCACCTCATGTCTCTGTTTAATGTTAATCTTTTCCTCCTGCTCTTCCCCCCTGCTGTGTTCTTAGTTGCTCTCATTATATCAAAGAAGACATTTGGCATTTGTTTTTTAGGGATTGGCTAGCTTCACTTAGCATAATCTGCTCTAGCGCCATCCATTTCTCTGCAAATTCCATGATTTTGTCATTTTTTAGTGCAGAGTAATACTCCATGGTATATAAATGCCACATTTTTTTTAATCCATTCATCTATTGAAGGGCATCTGGGTTGGTTCCACAGTCTAGCTATTGTGAATTGTGCTGCTATGAACATTGATGTGGCAGTATCCCTGTAGTACGCTCTTTTAAGGTCTTCAGGGAATAGTCCGAGAAGGGCAATAGCTGGGTCAAATGGTGGTTCCATTCCCAGCTTTCCCAGGAATCTCCATACTGCTTTCCAAATTGGCCGCACCAATTTGCAGTCCCACCAGCAATGTACAAGAGTACCCTTTTCCCCATATCCTCGCCAACACTTGTTGTTGTTTGACTTCAGAATGGCTGCCAGTCTTACTGGAGTGAGATGGTATCTTAGGGTGGTTTTGATTTGCATTTCTCTGACTGCTAGAGATGGTGAGCATTTTTTCATGTACTTGTTGATTGATTGTATGTCCTCCTCTGAGAAGTGTCTGTTCAGGTCCTTGGCCCATTTGTTGATTGGGTTATTTGTTTTCTTATTGCTTAATTTTTTGAGTTCTTTGTATATTCTGGATATTAGGGCTCTATCTGAAGTGTGAGGAGTAAAAATTTGTTCCCATGATGTAGGCTCCCTATTTACCTCTCTTATTGTTTCTCTTGCTGAGAAAAAACTTTTTAGTTTAAGTAAGTCCCATTTGTTGATTCTTGTTATTAACTCTTGTGCTATGGGTGTCCTATTAAGGAATTTGGAGCCCGACCCCACAATATGTAGATCGGAGCCAACTTTTTCTTCTATCAGATGCAGAGTCTCTGATTTGATATCAAGCTCTTGATCCATTTTGAGTTAACTTTTGTGCATGGCGAGAGAAGGGGATTCAGTTTCATTTTGTTGCATATGGATTTCCAGTTTTCCCAGCACCATTTGTTGAAGATGCTATCCTTCCTCCATTGCATGCTTTTAGCCCCTTTATCAAATATAAGATAGTTGTAACTTTGTGGATTAGTCTCTGTGTCCTCTATTCTGTACCACTGGTCCACCCGCCTGTTTTGGTACCAGTACCATGCTGTTTTTGTTACTATTGCTCTGTAGTATAGTTTGAAATCTGGTATCGCTATGCCGCCTGATTCACACTTCCTGCTTAGAGTCGCTTTTGCTATTCTGGGTCTTTTATTTTTCCATATGAATTTCATGATTGCTTTATCTATTTCTACAAGAAATGACGTTGGGATTTTGATTGGCATTGCATTAAACCTATAGAGAACTTTTGGTAATATCGCCATTTTGATGATGTTAGTTCTGCCTATCCAAGAACAGGGTATATTTTTCCAACTTCTAAGATCTTCTTCTATTTCTCTCTTTAGGGTTTTGTAGTTTTCATTGTATAAATCTTTCACCTCTTTTGTTAGGTTGATTCCCAAGTATTTTATTTTTTTTGAGGATATTGTGAATGGAGTGTTTTTCCTCATTTCCTTTTCAGAAGTTTTGTCGCTGATATACAGAAATGCCTTTGATTTATGCGTGTTGATTTTATATCCTGCCACTTTGCTGAATTCATTTATTAGTTCTAGTAGTTTTTTTGTAGACCCTTTTGGGTCTTCTAGGTATAGAATCATGTCATCCGCAAATAGTGATAATTTAAGTTCTTCTTTTCCTATTTTTATGCCTTTAATTTCTTTCGTCTGTCTAATTGCTCTGGCCAGTGTTTCGAGAACTGTATTGAATAGATGTGGTGATAGAGGGCATCCCTGTCTTGTTCCAGATTTTAGAGGGAATGCCTTCAATTTTTCTCCATTCGGAATGATGCTAGCCTGAGGCTTAGCATAGATTGCTTTTACAATGTTGAGGTAAGTTCCTGTTATCCCTAGTTTTTCTAATGTTTTGAACATAAAGGGATGCTGTACTTTGTCGAATGCTTTTTCTGTGTCTATCGAGATGATCATATGGTTCTTATCTTTAAGTCTATTGATGTGGTGAATAACATTTATTGATTTCCATATATTGAATCATCCTTGCATCCCAGGGATGAATCCTACTTGATCATGGTGCACAATTTTTTTGATGTGTTTTTGTATCCGATTCGCCAGAATTTTATTGAGGATTTTTGCATCTAGGTTCATTAGGGATATTGGTCTGTAGTTTTCTTTCTTTGAGGTGTCTTTGTCTGGTTTCGGAATCAGGGTGATGTTGGCCTCATAGAATGAATTTGGAAGAGCTCCCTCTTTTTCTGTTTCCTGAAATAACTTGAAAAGTATTGGTATTAATTCTTCTTTAAAGGTTTTGTAAAACTCCGCTGTATACCCATCTGGTCCCGGGCTTTTCTTGGTTGGTAGTCTTTTGATTGCTTCTTCTATTTCATCCATTGATATTGGTCTGTTCAAATTGTGTGTATCCTCCTGACTCAGTCTGGGCAAATCATATGACTTAAGAAATTTATTGATGTCTTCACTATCTTCTATTTTATTGGAATATAGGTTTTCAAAATAATTTCTAATTGTCTTCTGTATTTCTGTAGCATCTGTTGTGATATTGCCTTTTTCATCCCGTATGTTAGTAATTTGAGTTCTCTCTCTTCTTCTCTTCATTAGCATGGCTAAGGGTCTGTCGATCTTATTTATTTTTTCGAAGAACCAACTTTTAGTTTTGTTAATTTTTTCAATAGTTTCTTTTGTTTCAATTTCGTTGGTTTCCGCTCTGATTTTAATTATTTCTTGCCTTCTGCTACATTTGCTGTTGTTTTGCTCTTCCTTTTCTAGGGCTTTGAGATGAAGTGTGAGCTCATTTATTTGTTGTTTTTTTCTTTTTTTGAGGAATGACCTCCTTATTTACATTTCAATTAGAAGATAGAAACTTTAAATCTGGGTTTAAAAAATGGACCCAATTCTATGCTATTCATAAGAAACATAATTTTAATATAAAGACAAAGGATGAAAGTTATATGAAAAAAAAAGATGTCATTTTAAACACTAATCATAAGCCAGTGTGTCTATTTTAGTCTCAGGAAAGGTAAACTTTAAGAGAAAAATATCATCATTGATAAAGATGGGTACTTCACAATGACAAAATGGTCAGGAACAAAGCCCAAAATTGTTTTTCTCTGTTTAGACTAATAAGATTGATAAATCTCTCTTTTTCTGCATATAATTTCGGAAGGTTTATGAACCTCATGAGTATTTATGGACCTCTATTTAACCTATTTTTAAATTCACATTATTTTAAAGTTCAGCAGTTTTCAAGTAGCAGATCCTCTCAATCCTTGACAACCATTTTTATTATCATTGACTTAATTCTTGCAAGTCATCTCACCTGGAACTTCACCTTCTGATTAATGTCGGAGATGCAGAACTGCTTCAGGAAGCGCTCGTCTTCACTCCAGAAGAGGCGGATATCAGGGATGTCATAGAGGATCATGGCCAGTCTTTCTAACCCGAGGCCAAAAGCCCAGCCGATTCGATCTTGAGCACCAGCTATAATTAGGAAAGAAAATAAAAGGGCTGTTTAGGGAAGTATGAAGATTGGGCAGGTACACACTCCTCCCCATAATTACCAGGAACCTTGCCTGAGGCCTATAGGCAGGAGTGCCCTGCAGAGCCGTGGTGGAAGGCACCCCATCTTACTTTTCCTTCCTCTTCATGTTCCTCACTGTCCTCATGAAAGCACTATGGAGCCACACTGACGATAGTATTTTCTTTCATTTCTGAATAAAGTTCAGGCTCTTTGAAACCCGCATTCTCACCTCTGAATTATGCTTTTTCTGTAGTCTTTACCTGCACTGATTTAAACATGTAGCCTTCTAGGTGTCAGTTACATAAGAGAACTGGCTACACATAGGGCCATATGTGCAAAACAGGCCACACTAGACTGTGAACATTCAGAAAGTGTGTGTCAGGCCATCAAAATCTTCAACTTTATTAAAACACCATGTTTCCTGGTAGTAAGAGCTCCTCCAACCATGTGCAGAGGGCAAGGAAGCCATGGTGAAATGCCTATCTAGTGACAATTACCCCAAATGGTAGCAAGTGGGTCAGATTCTGTCAGTACAGTGAATTCTAACAGTGCATTTCACATGTATGAATCAGAGTATAAGACAAAAGACAGGGCGGTCGAGTGTAAGAAAGGTGACAGGAGCAGTTCATACTTCTAAAAAAAGCTTGGAAAATGAGCTCATGAAATGAAAAAATTACAAACAGACATAAAGCAGGCTCCTGAGGCAGACTGAAGTGGCTCCCCGAGATTCCTACCTCTCATGCACAGCCCCATGGAAACCTCTTCCTTTGATTGTAACTGACCCATGAGAAGGACAGGGTCTCACCCCAGTCATTAGTTTGTCTTGTGTGACTTGTATGACTCTCTCCACCTTGGCAGATTGCAGAGAGATTTCCCCTGCTGGCTATGAGGAGATGAGAGGCCATGCTGTGAGGAAACATGTGCCCAGGACCTCGGGGAGTCCCTAAGGAGCTGAGAGGCACACCAAAGCCAGTGAGACACATGGGAACCCCACTCCCATAATCATGGAGAACACATCCTCCTCAGTCTGCTAGGCGAGAAGACCCAGAGCTTGAGAATACAGCCCTAACATTCTGACTACAATCTAGGGAGACCACACACTGGGGGACCACACCAGTCCATATCCAGAGTCCTGAAGCAAGGAAACGAATAGTATATTTGTGTTGTTTTAAGCCATTTATGAGATAATTTGTTCTTGGGGCAGGGAGGGGAGTGAAGAAAAAACAAATCAGATAAGAAGCGTGGAGAAAGGTGACAGAAAATGGCAGAGTTCCAACCATAAAAGGCCAGGGTGCAGCCCAGGAAGGCTGAGGGGTGAAGAGACAGCGAGGGCAAGGCTGGGCAGCTGACACTCTGAGGAGGGGACAGAGAGAAGCTGATGTGCTCTGGTTATTGCTGCCACCACCATCATTCACAAATGACAAGGATAAGAGAAATCAGAAAGAAATGTGAGCCTTGAAACAAAGGATTTGTTTCAAGGCTCAATGAATATAAAGTATTCAAAATGCCACAAGAAAATGATACAGAGAGAGTAGGGCTCAGTCAGAGGGAGAGTGAATATGAAGAAAACTGAGTGGCTGGCTACCTGTGTTCCCAGGACAAAGGATCATTCCAGAAGGGGGTCAGGGAAAGGGCTGTTTAACCAGAAGAATGCTGCAGCCAGAGTTCCTGACCAAGTGACCCCTGCCTAGAAAGAAGCTGATGGGGGAGGGAAAAATAGAGGAATTCATAGTGATGCCTAAAAACCTTAGAGAGGCTGATGACCAACTGAAGACACGAAAATTAACACAACACCCACATTTTATACCACTGGAAGAATTTTTTTGAGAAATGATATTCCTGAACCTGGTGAGGGATTTGGTTCCAGTATTCTCACTTGTTTCTGGTTATGCACTCTATTCTTTATAACCATTTGGAAAACAATGTAGCAACAGACACAAAAATCCACAAAAATGCTCACATATTTTATTCTAAGATTTTAGGGGGAGATTTATCCCTAGGAATTAACAAAAGCAGAAAGATAAATAAAGATATTTGGGGCAGTATTACTTATAAGAAGAAAAACAAGAAAACAATCTAAGTGTCCAAAATTAGAAAACTGCTTAAATATTACAGTACATTAAAATATTATTATATTAAAATACATAAAATAACAACATAGATGTTATTAAATCAGAGTATAAGAGAATACGAACACTTCTATGATAAAATAAATATTTACTATGATTACTACTTAATACAGGTAAAAATGAGAGTCATAATATGAAAATTAAAGAATGTGATGCTCATGGGTCACTATGAGTAGTAATTCAAAAACAACTGCTTATTTTTAAAATTCACAAATATCTTTATGAGATATTTGTGATGCAGAACATGATGTTTTGATATAGATATATATTGTGGCATTACTAAAATGAATCAATTAACAATCATTGATTGCTTCATAAACTTTCTTGTGATGAAAACATTTAAAATCTAGTCTTGGCAATTTTCAAGTAGACAATACATAGTTATTAGCTAGAATTACCATGTTGTACAATAGATCTCGAGTTTATTCCTTTTACCTAACTGAAATTTTGTATCCTTCGACCAACAATTTCTAAAACATTTTCTGTATTAGTTAAAGTCTTTTCAAGTAAAAAATAAACAACAACAACAAAAAGAGGTGGGAGTATTAATGTTACTTTGCAATTGAAGCGTGCTTTATTAAATCATTTACACTTCATCTTCAAATGTTAGACAAAACCAACCATCTAGAGACCACTATCTATAGCTGAATGAGCAGCAGATCTAGGGGATTTGGTTTTATTTCATATCCAGTAATTTGTTATCTGCTCTTTTCATGCACCACCCCTCACTTCTTTCCCCATTCCTCAAAGCAAAAATAAAAGTAGTGGAGATCTGTTAAAAGTAGGTTAAAATAAAGAACAATAAATTTAAAAATGGGAAAAGAATATGAAGATATTCACAGACAAGGAAAGAAAAAAATGGTTCTTAAACAAATGAATACTTCAGTTAAGAAAAATGCAAGATACAATTGAATCAAGTTACCAGTTTTTACTTACCAGGGGGGCAAAAAATTTAAAAAAATGATCATACATTTGGTAGCAAAGCACTCTTATACACTGCTGGTAGGATGCATGTGGGTTTTAATTTTTTGACCCAAGGAATATAACATAGCACTAGTTATCAATATTCAAAATATATACTGTCACATATTACTTGAACTTCTAGAACAGATACTATTCATGAAAATTTGTGAATTTACAATGTGGTTTATTGAAATAGTGTTTATAATAGCAAAAGAGTGCACACAACCCAAATGTTTATTCATAGGAAATTGGTTAAATGAATAATGGAACGTTATTGTAACACCTTCTGAAGGATTTCAAATACTGTTTTTTATTTGGGGATGGGTGGGAGAGAACAGGGCACATGAAGACAAAAGGTGGAAGGCTTTACAATATGTGGCTTTGTATATAAAAAGTAATGAGAAATTTTTCAGGTATATGTTGATTTTTCTTTTATCAGAAATGCTCTGGAACAAAAAGTATTTTGAATTTTGGAGTGTTCTGGATTTCTGATTAGGGATTCTAAACCTGTAATAGAAATCTTAATGACTAGATAAAATGTGGTGCTTTCTTTTCTGTTTATTCTTTTCCTAACAGGTTTTAAAACAACAAATAATCCCTTTCATTGGTGTCAGGCTTCCAGGAAAGACTATGATTAATAAAAATGGAACTGATGTTCCACTTATAGCCTGTTTGGGTGTTTCTCTCTACAGAAGAGCCAATGCATTCTAAGCCTGGAAAATTAATGCTGCTATTTGTGGGGGTTTCAAAAAACTCAAGCAAATTCCCCAATACCCCTCATCTTCAATCCTAGTGGGCTGAGATACTTCAATCAAGAGATAAGGGAGAAGAAATGTGATGTGACTTCTGAGATTACACGAAAAAAGTCATGCAACTACCTCCTGCTTTTTTTTTTAAATGATCGTGCTGTGACATTTCCTCTCAGTCAGGATTTTTCCCTCCAAAGATTCTCTTGGAACCCCACCACTAGTCTCTGAGAAAGCTCAGCAAGATGAAGAGGACTTGTGTAGGAGCTCACAAGGGGGAACCTAGCCTTCAAGTTCCCCCAGCACCATTAGCAGACACGTAAGAGAAGACTTAGGAGGATTCCAGCCCCAGTTGGGAACCACCCCGATTGTGTAAATCTCCCTAGATGAGGTTCTGGGCACTGTGGAGGAGAGACATGCCATCGCTATTGTGTGCTGTCTGAATTCATGACCAAGGAATAATTTTCCATTACGGTAAAGCTAAAACTACACTGTAGCCACAGGTTCTACTTTTCTTGGTCTGAAAATATTGCAAATAAAAAAGTAAAGTTTCAAACAGGAGAGAGATCAGGAGTTACAAGAAGCTTAAAATAAGATGAATACACTATATTATACCACCTCATTTGTGTCATAATATCCATTCGTCTCTCCAAAGGCCAGGTCGCCCACTATTATTTATTCACAACGTTGCTCATCCTAGAAATCAAACCATCTTAAGTCAAGGCTACCCAATCCCCTGTCACCACATGAACCACTGCCCTTCATTTTATTTCTCCAGCTTGGTGAATGGATCATCACCCATCTAGTCACCCAAGGCAGCAGGCTGGAAGTGAAGTTTTACTTCACATACCACCTCATATCAGGCAAAGACCTTTAAATGATATCTCAGAAGTCTCTCAAAGGCCTCCCTTAATTTGAGTCCTACTGTCACTGTGGATGTGTCTTTAACAAAAGTCTTTCACTCAATCCAAGGAGTTCACCCTGTCTCCTCATCCAGCCCATCTCTGAGAGTGCCACCAATTTGCTCCCTAAAGCATGAATCTCCACATTGCTTTAAGCAGATGTGTGTGGACTGTGGGTCAGAGAATGATCTCTCAGCAAGCCACATTTAGCATTTTGTTC